GGGGGGGGGGGGGGGGGATATAGGTTGCAGTAGTTACAAGGAGGCGCCCAAAGCATGGATGAATGTTTGTCGCACCGTAACCGTGAAAGTGTGGAAAAGTTTGGCTGAGGATGGGTGTGGGTGTGAGGTATGAATTTGCAGTTCGGCTTTAGACGTCAAGTCGATGGTAAAGGTGTGGAGTGGTGCGGCCGTATGTATATATGTGGTAGTGACTTTGATTTTTTCATTCGGGCATGGGATGTAGTAGTGTAGGTGAGGGTGTCGCTTGGCGCGTATAACGTGCCGTTGTCGATGGAATATGAATTTAGGTCTACTTCTGTTCATGGATGTGCTCTTGATGCAGCTACACGCTGTATGTCCACGTAAGTCGAAGTCCACACAGCATAGCCTAGTAATTAACATTTACTAGCCTTTATCATAAAGAACAGTCTTTTTCGAGAAACAAACAAGAAGAAGATACTCTTCTGATGGTTTTCAAATGTCAATAGGGAGTGGATGTAGATGGCGGTGTAGTTACCTAGATGATATAGCCACATGCACACTTCATAACTACATACATCCATACCTACACCTACCCATAAACATACCGGCGCGCACCCACGCCCACACCCGAAAATATAACATCAGAGCATAGAATTATCCTAGTCGAACTGCATTCAAATGAAGTCACCATACATATAAATACACAGTAACCATTTAAAATGTTTTTCTTATATTGTTGTCATCACGTGATACTAATATTCGTATTACTGTACGACTTTATAAGTTGATTCGCATCTGAACATCCAGTACTTAAGTTCTGATTAAACGTAAAAGTGCTGCAACAAATGTCATTTCATAACATTAAAAAAAACTAAAAATGTAGCTAGCCTTATCACAAGGTATTAATGATGGTTTTACAATATCAACTTTTAAAGTACGTTCCTTTTATAACTTATACATAACAACAAGCATTTTACATAAAAACTACCTGAAATAGACCTTGGATATCCTATTATGAATCATCCAAATAATATTAAATAAATATGCATCCACATTGTTTTAATATTATCAGGAATTGCGTTCACAAAACAGTCTAACCTTTTCGTAAGCAAACCTTCAGTCGAGGGTCAAGCGAGGCGTAGCGACGAGGGTTACTTGTTACTATATCGTATCTTAGTTATTGCTCATTCCAATATTCTTACTGCTCAAATGAATACTAGCCAAAAAACAAGCATTTTCCTAATCTTTTTACAGTAAATCTTGGAAGTGGTCCCCATAATGCTCGGTAAAAAGCTTCATCTCTTTAATTCACTTCTGAGATGTCCTTTCATATTTCTAAACAGTTTACAAATGCAGCTCCTCGGATAAAACTTGCAGCATCTGAATATGTACTTGGGATAGGTTTCAAACAACTAGACAACGAAAAGTCCGAAGGACCAGGACCTGGTTGATATGATGGATGAATCATAACTTTGGAGTATTCTTCTTGAACGTACTTAAGATTAAGAGTATTATCTTGTATACGTAGTTTTGCATTGTGACGATGCAAATTTAATGCCATGGTTTTTTATGAAAATCTTTTCTCATGTAAATCTTTTGACTAATCTGTTTGAACATTTATCATGATAATACCTATGATAGACTATGTCTGAGAGGTAGCAACATAATCAACACTAAGGTGTGGAGTATCATTCAGCAGGTTCTTGACCCCACCAATATTTTGTTGAGTGATGACAGATAACGGCGACCATTACAAGAATCATGTTCCAGCGACTCTCATCTACTTGAAAATCGATAAACCCAATGAGCAACTGTAGTATATGAAACAACATCTGGTCCATAACCATCAGTTAATTCATCATGAATTTGTGTAGGGTGTGGGTGTGTCATTGATGTGAGTCTTCTATTTACCAACATCCAGATCCAAACCTACACCCACACTCACACCCACACCCCACATCCACACCCGCCAATACACACACCCACACCCTTTCTACGAGCTATACATTTTGTATATTATTTTTAATGTATCAACAACCTGAAAGAAGGGTGTGCGTGAGAGTGTGGGTGTGCCCATAGCTAACAGTGGGTGTAGATATTCTCCTCAGTCATGTTATATCATTTTCTGAAACTACACTTATTCAAAGCATAGTATAGATGTAATTCATTATTAATTGCTGTGAGTTACTAAATGGAACATTTTGAAAGAAATCTTCGTTCGTTCTTAATGCTAGCATTAATGACACCTGACAGACTAAAATAGAACTTGTTACTATTCGAAACTTCAAGTGCTATATGAGTTTTACACTGTATATCTTCGTAAAACTGAAGTAATAGATTGTTTCTGAAATGAATTTATTGCTTAACTGATATATTAAGCGTACCAGGCTTTGTCAATCCAGTCAAGAATGACAACCGATCGGTCAGATGTGATGGAAAAAAATTCGAGCGGTTGCAAGTGTGATCTTCATTAGATTCTTTTCTTCACCCAAATAATGGTCTCCAATAGAAAATATATCTTTTTGTTCTAGTAAACGAACTAATTCGTCGAAACAAGATAAAGTGTGTTGAACTGGTCCTTGCCTATCGTTATTATTGTAGGCCTCAACCTGATATAATATATTGGATTGGAGCCAGAAAACGTGAACAATGTGTTAACGCGTGTTCAATCTCTGTTTGTAAAAAATAGTCTAAACAAAAAAGTATCAACTTGTTGCAATAAGCTATTCTCTTATCATGAAAGTATTGCAACAAGGCTCGTTCTCATTGAAATCCCTGAGCATATTAATATTTGTGGTTATTGTTTTGTTCTTGAATTTAATGTATTTCAAAAATAAAATCAACTTCGATCAGCAGAAAGTGCGATACGGAAACTCACAAAACATCCAGTATAAAACAGTAAGACATGTTCCCCATCCTTTGCCTATTTATCCGAGACTCGGAAACAACTATGATGGCTGCCCTTACTATGGAGAGAAAAATGGATTATTTCATCCAAATGCAAGCCATCCACGTTTCATTGTTACTGGCGGAGCGGGTTTTATTGGTAGTCATCTGGTTAAACGTTTGAGGCAACGTTATAATGCAAGTCAAATAAAAGTATTAGATAATTTGTGGCGAGGTCGTTTGGACAATCTGCAGTTTAGAAACGGAACGTGGGCTATATCTGCTAGTCATGATATCTGCTTGGTGGATCTACGAAATGCTAATGAAGCACTGAAATTCATAAGAGGAGCCGATGTGGTCTTCCATTTGGCGAGTGTTGTTGCCGGAATGAATTACATGTTTTCACATCAAATATCTGTTTTTCACGATAATATAGTCATTGATTCCAATACAATATATGCTGCTAAAACAAACCGAGTCGGAAATTTTATCGATGTTGGAACAGTTTATTGCTGTCCAAAATTTTTACAAGATGAGCTCAGTATTTATGCTCTAAGAAACAGTCAAACTTCTTCAGCTGAATCAGAATTTTCATATGGTTGGAGTAAACTGGTAGGGGAACATGAGTTAAAACTAGTGCAATCCGATGGCTTCAATGTTGGTTTACTACGTCTTCATAATGTTTATGGTCCTTACAGTGACTATACCGCTACAACTGGACAAGTTATTCCATCATTGATAAGAAAAGCATTAAAGTTTGAAAACGAGAATTTCACAGTCTGGGGATCAGGCAAACAATATCGAGATTTTATTTACGTTGATGATGTAGTCGACAGTTTGCTTTTAATACTCGACAAAGGAATGAACAAAGGAGTTATACAAATAGGTAGTGGAAAAGCGACAACGATTAACAAAGTAGCTAGCATTGTCAATATGCTTGCAGAAGCTAAGTTTCAGAGCAAAATGGACATTGTATTTGATAATTTACAACCAGAAGATGATAAAGGTAAAATTGCTGTTCTTCATCGTGCTAGTAATATATTAGGATGGAAACCTACAGTTAGAATAGAAGATGGCATTTCAGAAACCATGTCCTGGATGAAAGAACACCAAGAAAAGACACGAGTATTAGTGATTATAATTGGACAAGCTCGTGGTGGCGATCTATCTTGGAAATCTCTTCATAAATTTCTTCTTCGTCCTCTACAAGCGCATTTAGCGCTCTATCTCGCGAACGCAGAAAAAAGAACACTTTTGCACGATCTAGCTCAATATATTTGGACAATACCTAGTTATCCTTATTGGGATGGCATCTTTGAAAAGGCAGCAGAAACATGTAACACAGATGAAGTAAAAGATAAATGGAGAAACTACTGTCAAATTCCAGGAATATTTATGGGTGGAATTTCGAACTGTTCACATCCTGCATCTTCAGGAATGTTACTTGCCTTGAGGTGGCTTGTACAACAAAAAATTTATGAATTTGATTTACTTAAAATCTATGACTGGTTTATTTTAACTAGAGCTGATGAACTTTACTTATGCAATCATCATAACTTTTTAAACATGAACAAAAATCATTTATTACTACCACCTGGAGAGTATTATGGGGGATGGTCAGATCGTCATATCGTAGGCAAATCGGATGTTTTTATGAAGATGATAAACATTACAACAGAGTTGGTATGCAAACCAGATTACTGGTATCAAAAGCTACAAGCGAAAGGGATGTCTTTTAACATCGAAGCAGTACAACACATGTACTGGGCAGCAATGAATATAACTGTGTCCGAGTTTCCAAGATCAATGTTCACAGTGAGAACTACATATGATCCTGCATCTTGGTCTCAAGGTACGAATCATTCAGTGATGGCGCCATTCGGATTGAAGCTGAAGTATCCCGACGAATTCCATCTCACGATCAAACAGTGCCCAGTTGAGAACGTAACGGATGCCCTGAAAACTATAGGTATATATGATTGGCAAAGCTCAAATTATACTTAAGCGTCGATTCTGCGAAATCATATTTCAAAATATCTAACGATATTCAACAGTTTCTTCGATGATAAACTTGAGAGTGTGGATGTCACTCTGACATACGTGTGCATGTGAGATGAGGATATTGATGTGTCAGTGTTTCTGTGTATTTCGTCTCGATCCATATTCACATCATGATTCATGAACACTTTCAACGTTAAGACGAATTTTGAACTCGAGTTCGTCCTCTACCTTTTATTTAATAGTCAAAGTTTAGTCGCTGAACAACAATGAATAGATCTTCTTTAGTCATGGATACTCATTGATGACTAACTAGCATTTTGTGGAACTCACATTCGTTTTCGAAGAACAATAGTGAGTGAAAATTTTAAGTCGAAGTTTTTTCGGATTTCCGAGAATGTGAATGTGGGTATGAGTGTGGAGATGTAAATGTGTGGTTGTGAATGTGGGGATGGGTGTTGAGATGTAGATGTGTGGTTATGGGCGTAGGTGGAGTGTGAATATGTGAATGTGAGAAACGTAATACCCTCATCCACACTCAATACTCATACAGACAATCACACACAAACGTTTACACCCACACTCAAATTATTCTGAATTACTGCTCAAGATGAAAAACCCATGTGTACACGTGACTTAGCACGTGGGAGCAAACATACAAGCATGTAAATTGGTGTTACTTCAGGCTATTTTCCCTTCAGTCGCAAGAAAAAAATGGGCTCTTTAAGCTACGTTTTTTCACAAGGAATGCTGAGTTTTACGCAAAACTACGTAACAACTGGAAATGGTTAAAGTTGCTTGCTTGATGTCCGAGATTTTAATGCTCAACTACAACTATGCTCCTTAATTGATAGCCATTTTTGCTGAGTAACATTAATCATACAAATGAACATTCTAGAAAGACCAGGGATGCCACCTCATGAAGTCGAAAAGCGGAAAGTTGTCTTAGAAAAGCGGAAAATTGCGGAAACAAAAAGCAGAAAAAGCGAAAACTAGTCTTGTTGCGGAATTTTAGCATTTACGAGGATTTTCAACTTTTTCATATCTATAGCATTCTGTTTTTATTTTAACAAAATTGGAAAACATAAAATATTGTTGAAATAAATAAGAATGACTATGCTTCACTCCATGGTATACAAAAGTACCTTCTGCAGCTGCTGTTTCTTCAACCTCCTTGTTAGATTTCATAGTTGATGTTATCAATTGTCGATTTCTACCGAATGAATTTATGTTCTTATTATGTCTTTTCAATTTGATGTGACGATCAATATCATTTTTCCACCATCACATACTGAAAAATGTTCGTTAGAGGCAATACAAAGAACCTTAGCTGAATCTGGTTTATACTGTCGTAAAAATGATGCGAACTGAGGATTAAGTAGCCATTGTGAATTAAACACGCCTTTTTCATCTTTTGATAAGCATCTAGTATGGCTTCAATATTTTTATTTTCATTTGATTTCAGAATTGGTGATGTTATTATTAAATGTTCACGATCTGTTTCATCATTTGCAATCTCGATAGCTTTAGATCATAAAAAACGTTTAAATTTTCGTATTGGAAATTTTTTTAGGCAAATACAGAAGGCAAAATAATTTGAAAAGAAGTTAACAATCAGTTGAGAGCAAAATGATGTTTTTAATTCCCGAACAGGCAATTAGTGCGCAAGCCCTTTAAGATACAAAAACTTTATGTGTTTGTTCATTGATTTTATGGATGACATAATAAGTTTTGCTCCGAACATATTTTGAAAATACATCACCTTTTTATATAAAAAAGCGGAACAGCAGAAAAATAGCGGAAAATAGGTGAAAAAGCAGAAACTTTCCGCAAAAAGCGGAAGAGGTGGCATCCCTGAGAAAGACCTATAATGTGAGAATAATTATTTGTATTATTGAACAAAGCAAGCAGGACTATGCAACATTTACTGTTTATTGATGACATTCTTTATAAGATTACACAAGAATTGTTACATATTCATACAGAAATTTTTGATCGTCACTTACATTTTCAAGTAAGAATGGCGCAGGGATAGAAGTAAAGGATAAGTTCCATGATTTATTATATGAGTAGCTGTTAGAAACAGCTCTTTATAAATCATGTTCAATACGAAATAAATGATTATTCTATAATAATTCAAAATGAGGAGAAGAAAAAAAGGTACGTAAAAAAGAACATAATGTTACTTGGTCATTGGTTTCCTCGAAATAATTTTTTAATAAAAAAATGAAGTTCCCTTCCTTTTCTCCCATGTGATATGCTCGATCAGACTCAAATTTTATTATAAGTACTTCGATTAAATTGGGATACGTGTGTTTTATCTTATACAAAAATACTACCATTACAAAAATTCACGTTTTTTTTGGTGCTTCTAGTATTTTGCCTCTCCCGAGCTTTGAGAGAAATATTTTTTAAAGGAAAAAAACATACGAACTTCGATCAGACCCTATTTGTCATAAAACAAAAGTGCAGCTCGAAAAAATGACGTATAGACTTGTACAGAAGAAAAACTTTCTGCCATTGTTTACTTTTGTCATCATATATTTTTCTGAACTGAATATTTTGAATCCATGATAACTTTTGTTTTACTTATCGTGATCTATCTGATGTAAAAATTTAATTCTTTTTTGGGGAGGTGTTCTCGAGAAAATCAGGAAAAGGGATGGAGACTAAATTTTGATGAATCATAATGATGAAAAAGTACCATGAATGCTTTGATAAGAACACATAGTTTTATGGTCTACGATATTAAATGCAGTAGAGTTTTCTTAAAGTATCTTTTCAACATGCATGCTTTTCTATTATTTCTTCGTTTTCTCTAGAATATCGATGGTCTTTTGTGTGTCGCCAGTTAAAAAGTACATCAATGTTATCAACAACTTTACGAATATACTCAATGAATCAGTAGACATAACAATCGAGAATGCACTCATTGGAAAATGTCGTGTAGCTGTCACATTAAATCATAATACACGAAAAATGGAAATTGAATATCATGGTAAAAATCACATCAGTAATCCATCTGATATTATTAGTCTGCAGACAGGAATTCTATATGTAATGAGTGGGATTTCTACGTATAATACATTCACCTATTTATGTTCATCCAGCAATTATTGTGATCGAGAATATATATTGAAAATTGGTCGTAATGGCTATTCAATGTTACTTTTACTGGATTAGAGAATGCACTTTCAAAGATATTATAAAGCAATGACTATAATAGCTTTGTATCAAGTGAATATTATGATACGAACTAGGGTGGTAATTTGTTCAAATTACATATGTAGCAGTGAATACAAGAAAAATGAAATGATCGCTACGTATCTCAGAATCGATGAAACACCAGACAAAACGAAACCAATGACACAATCAGAATGGTTTGAATGGCCACTTGCACAATTTGTCTTTGTAAACATTAAAACGATTTTAATGGAAGGGGATTTGGGGAGAAATGATAATAGTATGCACTCTGGCCGAGACAAACGTCAACTGAGTCATACTATTTTCTATTTTTGTGGACTCAATAAATGCAACAATCATCCATCCATTTTGCGAAATACAACGGATGAAATCCACATGAACTATAGGGTGCAACTAATGCTTCATTCTAACCCGTCGGTGTAAGGTAAAACTACTTTCATAGCAATTACTTATTTAAATTTGACATTTAACTTAGCAATAAAAGTAACTGATATTAGTCATGCAACTTCTACAAAGATAATAGATGGAACAAGTCGGTTCAAGACAATGTCAATTTTTGTTTTATATTGATCAATAGTTCTGACTGCTTACTCGTTGAACATTGATTCGAAGTCATATTATAATCAAAATGCCCTATTTATGCTTATAATCATGATAGTTTACGTTCTTATCGATTTTATTCTTCAATCACCAATGTCTAATCGTCAACGAATCACATTTTGAATCTTTTTCTAGGTGTTCATATGAATATGACGGGTGTTGTTCTCACGATTCCATTTATCTCTACATTTGCTGGTAGAGACTAAAACAAATATCATGACATATCATCTAAAATATTGGTTTATTAGCAGATGTGAGAAGGCTTCATTGTTAGCACCTTAGTATATAGGCAATACAATAAATCAAACGTCTTTCGAGTATTTGACGTATCTCTTTGATTTATTTTAAGGTTGGTTGGGAATTAGTGCTTCATATTTTTAGTTAGAAGAAAAATGCTGTATAAGAGTTAGTAACCAGTTACTACTAACAGGGTGAGACTGCTTCATTATTATTATTGTCAAGATCAGTATTTTTAGTGTTTCACGAAATCTGAATGACGTTCAATGTATTAATTATGCGTCAACATAAGATAAACAATATTCTGAGCAGTAGAAGATAAGTCATTATGAAGTTTATGAAAATAATAAGGAATGTACGAGAAAATGATTTTGAAAATAAGCACAACTGCTTGTTCCTAGCAACTAGATAGCAATAAGGATAACAACATTGCCTGATTAGTATTATATATGTCATTAATGTGAACCGATTGTATCACTGCATTGATGTCGGATCTTTTTTATAAGGCTTGATGGTATTTGTATCATCCATAATTGCAAGACTCATCACTGGTTTATGACGACCATCACATGATTCCACTCCATGAAACCCTCCTGCTACGTAACACATTTTTGATATGTTAGTCATCTCATTGTCTACTTTGACGGGAACTACAACTGATCTTAGTATTATTTCTTTAGTGTGGCAGCTCTTCTTGTCATGCAATCCGAAGCACAATTTGAGAAACCATCCGCTTACGTATGTTCCAGGCATTCTAAAAAGAAAAGACAGAACGTTCAATTAAAGTCACTCGTTTGAGTTTACTCACCTTCCCGATACACCACCCCCAACATGTTCAATATCCATTACTTTATTCCAAAACTCATGATCAACTTTATTTTGATAAGTTCTGATGAATTGATCAATGATAGGCAATAGACTATCGATATAAGTAGCAAACGTATCTGTCCCACACTTCGTAAAAGTCTTCAACTTTTCAATTTTCTGACGCAGAAGTTTCCAATCCTGCAATTTACCCATAAAGTGTACACGACGAATTCCACACCTTGTAATGAAGCATCTGTATTCGAAATAGTTCTTAAATGTATCCATCATAACGAGACATGACAAAATAGACTCAATCTGACCAGTTGTTGAGAAATTAGCTGTGAGCAAATCAGTAACATTATGTTTCACATTTTTGCCGACTTCTACGCGCATACGTTCGAGAAAATCCTTCCAACTGTAATACAATCAACATTTTAAATTATCTATGCTTCAAAATAATTCATGCTCACTCGGGTTCGATCAATCCTACTTGTACGATAGTTAACAATTTTCTGTCTTCATGATCAACAAAAAGTGTTCGTAATTGTTCCACATTTTGATTGACATAGGTGGAAAAATATATGCATACCATAAGCCAAATATCATCCGGAGACAAGACGATATCTTCATGTGAATTGTAAGCATAAAGAAAAGCCGAGAAGATAGCATGATTTACTTTGGACGATGTGTCTAAATCCAAAGTTTTTGTAATAGAAAAGATTACCCAGTCCATTATATAACTCACGTGGTCCATTTGCAATAACATGTTGAATTTTGTAACGTGTCTCATCGCCTTCTTTGTCAACTTCCTTTATCCAGTAGTTAGCATTTGGTTGATGCTCGGGCGCATTTGTCTGATAATCTTTTTTGACTGGTTGAAGATTCGGACATATGTCAATCGTATGATATTTCGACGAATTCTTATCAGCAACTTGATCATTGAGAACTTCACCCATTTCTTTTGTCACTTTTGTTTTTTAGTAACCAGTAAAGTGTTTGTCTTTAAAATGTAAGAAGAAAAAAGTCTAACGGAGTACTTGAGATAACAGAATAAATAGAAGAACAATGAAAGAAAAAAAAATATTGCCAAGAAAAAAAAGATGGCGTTTTGCTTGAAAAGAAAGTCTTGCACAATGTATAATGATTGTTGAGCAAGACAATTTTCAGTTATATATGTGCACACAGCAATGAAAACGTGGAGTGATCATAACGCAATAGAAAATTCATCAGTTCATGCGACATCTATTACGTAAGTATTGAGTAAAACTTGAATACTCATGTCAAAATTCTGGATTTGAGTGTGAATATGAATGAAGGCGAAGAGAAGTACCTCATCAACATTCCCTTATTCAACTTTGTCATTCAACGATATACACCCTGACTGTGTTCGAACATTCAAAGCAACAGTGTCAATGCTGGCGTCTAGGAATATTCATTGATCGATTTATGTGTCATTCATTTTCAAGAAAGACATTGGAACGCATCGAAATGGCTCGCATTTAGATGATCTAGACGATTGAGACGATCAATATAAATTGTCATACCAACATAATAGATTTTTTTCGACACAAAATATTAATATTCGTCTACAACTTATCCTATTTGATATTCTCACAGAACAGATGATTGCCAATAGCTGGCAAGTACTCAGTACAGAATATGGTCAAAAGTAAAAGCAAATAAAAAATATATATAGGTCGTGAATAATTCATGAGATATGCATGAATTTGCTTATCATTTTATTCGGTATCTGTTTAAATTTTGTTAAGTCTGATTTCATCTGCAGTAGTTGTTCCAAGTGAATCATCTTAATGGAAATGCAGATTGATGACGAAATTTACACAGATTTCGAAATCATAAGAAACTGATATGAATAACATTGATTATGACACCTGATCAGAGTGAATATAATGATATGTTTCATCTGAACACAAGCACTGTAAAATACACAAGAATGTATCTCTGAATAATACTGTCTGTTGAGACTAGAATAATTCTGTTACCTTATTCTATATTTAATATTTGATCCGTGAATGAAGTCTAACTTCGATAATTTCAATCGACGCTCATCTTCTCATATGTATTTTATGTGAAAACTAATATATTCTGTAAAAATGTGGCACCATAGTGAACAACTGATTGAGAAAAAGTTTATCTATAGCAATTTTAATCTTGTAATGTTTTTATAGCGTAATCGTTGATTACATTTTCTATTGAATACAGTTGAATTACTCTTCTTTAGTGTTGTTCGTGGTGGTGACTTTGCTATTCGATGAAAAACAAGTTCAAGGAGAACGATTAGCATAGAGAACATGCTAGTTCCATTGAGCATTCTCGCTTCTAAATAAATTTATTTCATGAGCAAAATTTTTTACGGACAAAACAATGTCTCAGGTTTGTGCATGGTCTTCATCGACATCAATTTCGGTGTCTGTGACGAAACTACTGGAGTCTGAAACGATAAAGACTATCGCCCTAGCCATCGCATAAGGTGAAAGATCCACTATCGTTTCTTCATGCTCGAACTCAGTCCTATAAATGAGCCAACACTTGAATTGGAGAAGAGGATGTCTAAGCGACCTTTCTCTTCCTGAATAACACTGTAGAGTTTATTGAGATCGATCATATTGGATATGCAGTTTTGTATTCCAGTCATATTATTGCTGTCCAATTTTTTCATAGCGTCATCAAGTACTTGTTAACGACGTCCAATAATAAAGACATGTTCAACGTGTTCAGCAAGAAACTGTTGGGCAACAACGAAACCAATGGCTTCAGAGTCATCAATAATGAGAGTAATTTTTCCGCTGATTCTTCACATGTGCTTTTACTTTGTTTTGAAAATGAAAGTCACTAATTGATGGTTGTGCTCCAATCGTCCATACAAAAAAATGAGATATTAGGTATTTGTTTACACACTGATCAGAGTGAGTGTCATATTATTTCATTATTTTTTTCTCGTATGTGAATACACAGATGATGTTCGCATTGGATATTTTTAATACATATCTATTATTTACTGTATAAAGTGTGTCGTCATTTTATTTGTGCTCTCTTTACCTCCTGCAGTGCCAAGTAGATGTATTTTGTAAAAATTCTCCTCATCCTCTCTTTTACTCTTCTCTGAGCCTATTACAATAGCTGAAGATTTTTTTTGGTATGTTGGTATTCTTTGCATTAACTGTCCAAAATTTCAGTTGTAAAAAATAGATAGATCGATAAAATAATAAAAACAAAAAACTTGCATAGACAAGCTATGAAGAAGTTACTGCACAATCACAATATCAGGCTCAGGAGCACCATAAATTCAATGCTTAATTATAAAAGTAATTATACATATGTACAATAGACAAATATGTAAGGTTAAGACAAACAATAACTACAATACCACTGGCTACATCGAGTTGCGTTGCTATCAAGAAGTTCGCCGTATTATCTCGAGTGTGGTTGTTAGTGTTCTCTTCCTTCATCCTACGACTCATGCCAAACACATCTACACTCCCATCAGCACATTATTATCTTTTTTTTCTGTTGGAAATAGTGAATCTGTTAGAACAGATGGGATTTTGAATTCATGCAGAAAATCAATACATAGAACAAATTATTATCAAGTCTGCTTGCATCTTATTCAAAATAAATTCTTTTATTTCCTTTTTATATTTGATATTGCATTTTTTTAAAGTTTTATTTCCAAGAATTTTGAAAACAATGGATGTTTTGAACTTATTTTAAGGGAACAGATATGAATGGTGAGACTGTTGATCCAGCGGCACATTCTTGAGCTTGATCGCATACTACTGTTGGTGGCATAACCATCGAACAAATAGACATGACTGAATTTTCCAAGTTATATTCCTTTTCTAGTTGCACTGTTTTTTGCGCTAATAATCGAATATTCTCTGCATTAGAACTTCTAATTGAATATACAACATAACCATTGGGACCACCACATGCTCGAGATCCAGTCGGTGCAGCAGTACAATCCGTTGATGTTGTGCATCTATTGTCAACTCTAATGGCTGCTCTCAACTCTTTATTAACAGTAGCGATTTCTTCTCGAGTGACTTTAGCATTGACAGCAACACCTGAGATTAATACACATGAATATAATGTAATGTTAGAGAAACAACAGTTTTACCTAAGAAAAGAAGAGCAAGAATAATTTGTTTCAGCATAGTATGGTTTGCTTTTGAGATAAGATAGTGGAATAAAACCAATAGAAGATTGAAACAGTGTCATTTTATACTTCAATCAGTATGCAGATGGTATATTACGATTGAAATGAGAAAGAAAAAACATATCAATTACATATGTGTTATAAAAGAATGAAAGATATAGCTGTAAATAAAAGCTTAAACAGTATTAATTTGATAATATGTTCCAGGTAGGAATATATTTCATTTATCAATGCCTTGATTTATTGAAGTTTTCTTAGATGACAACTAAATCTCATTTTGATTTGTTTTAGAAATATTGACGAAGTTGCCTAGATTATTTTGAAACAAGATTTTTTTCGATTTTGTTATTCTTTTTCAGTTCTCTTCAACATTATCAAAGACATGATACTCGTAGTTAACATTTAGAATGAAACATGAATTTCTACCAAAAAAACAGAGTGTGTTTACACTGTCTAAAAATATTTCTTCACATACATATTAATAACGTAGAGCTATAGAGAGACATATTATCGGCACAATTAAGTAAATGGATCGTTGTTATTTTCATCTACCCAGTGAAAAAAATATGTAGCAAAATCCTGATTTTTTTTATTAAGGGTGTAAAAACCACCAATTTCGACGAAAAATTCAATATTCTATACAAAATCGGATTAAAAGCGATTGAAATCGCCAAATCCATTGAAAAAACAATCGATTTAATCGATTATTTCGGATTAGGGCAAGAAAAACCGGGTTTTAATCCGTAATCAATTTAAATCTTCTAATCGATTGTAACCCGAATTGATCAAAATCGGATGAACTGATTTTCAACGGATTAACCCCAAGTATCTCTTTTCTAATCGGATGTTAATCTATAATCGATTTAAATCTTTTTTAATGGATTAAAATCTGAATTGATTTAAATCAGATGAAGTGATTTTCATCGGATTAGCTACGATTATTAGAGGTATAATCGAATGTCAATCTTTAATCGATTTCAATCCTTTTTCATCGATTCAAATCTGAATGAGCCATATTCGCGAATGCTTGTTGGCCACGCTTATATAAAGAACAAGTGGCCATATTAGTTTATATATTCTTAAGGACGGCATCTTCTCTTTTATCTATCTTTCTTTATCGTCGCTCTAACATATGTTAGAGCGACGATAAAGAAAGATAGATCAAAGAGAAGATGCGGTCCTTAAGAATATATAAACTAATATGGCCGCTCGTTTTTTATATAAGCGTGGTCAACAAGCATTCACGAATATGGCTCATTGATTTAAATCGGATGAATCGATTTTCATCGGATTTGTCATGACTATCTCTGTTCTAATCGAACGTTAATCTTGAATCCATTTCAATCTTTTTAATCGATTGAAATCTGAATTGATTTAAATCAGATGGAGTGATTTTCATCGGATTAGCTATGATTATTAGAGATGTAATCGAATGTTAATCTTCAATCGATTTCAATCCTTTTTAATCGATTGAAATCCGAAGTGATTTAAATCGGATGAATCGATTTTCATTGGATTAGCCACAAGTATCTCTGTTCTAATCGGATGTAAATCTTTAATCGATTTCAATCCTCTTTAATTGTTTGAAATCCGAATTCATTTAAATCGGATGAAGTGATTTTCATCGGATTTGTCATGACTATCTTTGTTATAATGGGATGTTCATCTTCAATCTATTTAAATCTTCTTAATCAGTTTAAATCCGAATTGATCTCAATCTGATGTAAGCATTTTCATCAGATTAGCTATGATTATGGTCGTTCTAATCAGATTTTAAAC